GTTGACAGCTTAATCCTTAGTTCATGAGTACTGCAAAACTCATGAGAAGGCTCTTTTATCCACCTATTATATACTTCATAGGATTTCTCAGGGGGTGCTTGGAACAAAAACCAAGGCTTTATTACTTCTAAATATGGGGGTGTTTAGCTAAGGTTAATATTCTTTAGCCCAAAAGAAAGGAAGATAGGTCATAAAACTATAGATATTATCTTTATAGGATATTCCATTACAATACCTGTAGATTCTTTATGGTGATTCTGAAATTTTTGAAACCTCAAATGACATCGATTAAATCCAGAGATGCTTCATTCTTTAAAAATATCTTTCCTTTCGAACCTAAAATATTTACTAACATTTAAGTGATTCTTATTCACCTTTTCCAACCCCTTTAGAAGGAGAAACAATAGAGCTAGGATTGCGAGGAACCTTGGTGATGGTCTCCTACTTTATTAATGACACACTAACAGTATGCTTAGGAGTTAGGAACACATTAGAAATTTGCAGTGAGAGTCCGATGCACATTACAAATGCAAATTGGTGCTTGGTAAATTTTTATCAAACCGCATCTGGCCTGGATGCTACATTAGAAATGCTCAAATGCTCATTTTATTTCAGGATAGCATTAGCATTTTAGTATTTGTAGGATGCTAATGCAATTTTTCAAATTTCAAAAATGTCCTATGACTTTATCAAAAAAATACGAGATTGCCAAAATGATTTAGTAAGAAACCAATATGATCGATATTTTCTATAAGATTAAATTTTATTATTTATTTTTAAAGATTATCTTTATATTTATTTATATGATTATTTTTTTATTTATTATATATTTGGGCCATATGAAATTTTTTAAAGATTACATACATTCATTTTTTTTATTTATTTACTTATTAATTTAAATAAAAAATATATATTCACTTTTAAATAAATATTAAAAATATTAGAAGGGTAAATTTGTCACAAAATATTCAATGAATTTTTGAAATATAATTTTACCAAACAACACTCATGTCAATGTACATTTAAAATACAGTTTTCATTTATTGTTTACCAAGTACTAAAAGCATTCTACAACTACATATTCACTCAAACCCCTTTCTCCAACCGTACATTAAAATACAAGTTTGTTCCTAACCACAGCCTAAGTTTATGTCAAGAGATTATGTGCTCTCCGGATGCTTCCTTGTAGAATAAGGTGAACTATGAAATAGACTCCATTACAAGTAATCTTGATTTTCACAAGTAAATCATAAGGTTAGACTTATAGCTCAAGGGTTTGGACAAAAAGTTGGCATTGATTATTTCAACACATAAGTGCCTATAGTGTAAATTACTACTATCCAAGTCCTACTTGTTTTTGCTCTCATCCATAACTCCTAATTCATCAAATGGATGTGAAGAATATCTTTCTTCGTGGAAACCAAGAAGAAGGCTCTTATATGAGAGAATTCGTAGATGACCGCAGCAAATGATCTAGACAGTCTTTAGATACTCTCATGAACAAATAAGATACTCGTGTAAAATCATTAACATGTAAACCCACAAAGACGTATTTCATACTATGTTGAGATAATCGAAATCTGGATAAAAAGAACATAATTCAAGATGTAATTCACTCTATTTTCTTCATATGGATATTAACTTCTCTAAATGTGTTTAGTCTTTAAAATGAGATGATCGTATAGTACACACCAACATTAATCATTACTTTATTCTTAATTTTTTATATTTATATTTATTTTATGGTAATTTGTGTTTTGTGGGAATTCTCAAAGCATTTATTTGGGTAAAACTACAAATTATAATTTTTACA